GTCTGCCTCCTCGGCTGGATATCGTTTGCCCCCTTCCATTTGCTTATTTCACTATTGTGTAGTAAATGGCCTTTCAGTTTTCTCAGGGAACGGTTCAGGCTGGCCTTGGATTCCCAGCCCACATTTTGTGCTTAGAGAGGGGCACACACCGGTTCGTCCCAGCTTCTGTCGGGCCATAAAGGCGGTAGCACAGGTGCTGCGGCTCCCCTCCCCTACTTCTTCATGAGATCAGCCACTCGCTCAGCTGAGCTTGCTTGCTTTTCCCACCTCCTCGGCTGATCTCTGCCTGTGCTGCTCCACTTAACTGGGACAAACTGGTTTGTGCCCATCTCCGCTGCCCCCCTTATGAACTGGAACAAACTGGTTCATGCCCGTCTCTAGTTGTGTTCATTCTTTTCTTGGCGGTACTTAGTGAGAGTCGAACAAGTGCATTCTCTCTGAGGATGAAAGGCTTCCTCTTCTTTCAGGGTCCTGTAACCTTTGACGAAGTTGCCGTGAACTTCACAGAGGCGGAGTGGGCATTGCTGGATCAGAACCAAAGGGCCTGCCACAGGGACGTCATGGAGGAGACGCATGAAAATGTGTTGTCTTTGGGTGAGCTTTGCTTTTTCTCCCTTCATTCGACAGATCCACTGTGCAAATGGTACCAAAAATATGTAGCCGATCACTGCTGTGAACTTTCACAAGATGAGGGAGAGGAAAGCTATGAAAGTTTTTCTTTCTGTAGCACCGATGGAAAAGATTAAAGCTTAATCCTCGTTAATGGATACATTCCCCAGAAAGGAGACAGGAAAGGACCAGTGATAGCTCTGCCCCTTTAGAGAAACAGGAAAAGGAGGTGGGACTGAAAGGCAGACTTCTAAGAGTATCAGACTGTGGGTGCAGGAGGTCTGAGAGTCAACAAGGGGACAGACCATTCTTTCCTCATGTATCCTTCCAAATTCTCCCTTATGGGAAATTTGGGGTGCCTAGGTTCTCAGAGGCGATGCCAACCTGTTCAACATCCTAAGGTGTCCCCTTCCAATGGGATTTTGTTTCTCTTATTTCAGCCCATGAGGGAAGACACAGCGAAAACCAGGAAGAATTGTGTTGGGAAGACTTGGAAACATTCCTTTTTAAAGAGAGTCATCTTCCAGGAAGGAGAAGTGAAGCAAATACTTACAGTAGAAATGAAGGTTTTGCTTTTCCACTCAGAGATTTGCAAGATGCCCTGCTCCAGCAAAAGAGAGAGGAAAGTAAGGAAACGGGTAAATGTTCTTTGGACAGAAATAACTGTAGTCTAAGGGCTGCTTGGACAATCCACACGGGAGGGAGACCGTTGAAAACCCCAGAAGGTGCCAAGAGTCTTTGGGATCATTCACCGTTCGGAATTCATCAAACTTTTCAGAGCTTTGAAATTAGAAAGAGCTTCCAGCACAGACCGAACCTTGTTTTCCCTGAGGGAACGGACACAGAGAAACCGTTTAAAGGTGTAGAGTGTGGAAAGAGCTTCAGTCACAAGGCGTCCCTGGCTTGTCATCTGAGGATCCACACTGGGGAGAAGCCATTTAAATGCTTGGAATGTGGGAACAGCTTCTGTCAAAGGGCACACCTGGATCAACATTCGAGGATGCACACAGGGGAGAAACCATTTCAGTGCTCAGAATGTGGAAAGAGCTTTGTCCGCAACAAAACCCTGAAAAACCACATGAGAATCCACACAGGAGAGAAACCGTTTGCGTGCTTGGAATGTGGGAAGAGCTTTAGTCGCAGCGAATGCCTGACTGCCCATATGAGGATCCACACTGGGGAGAAACCATTTCAGTGCTTGGAATGTGGAAAGACCTTCCGTCAGAACTCAACCCTTTGGTATCATCAGAAACTCCATAATGGAGAAAAATGGTTTAAATGCTTGGTCTGTGGAAAGTGCTTCTGTCAGAGCACACACCTGGTTCACCATATGAGGATCCACACTGGGGAGAAACCGTTTGTGTGCTTGGAATGTGGGAAGAGCTTCAGGCAGAAGTCATGCCTGGCTCGTCATCTGAGGATCCACACTGGGGAGAAACCATTTCAGTGCTCAGAATGTGGAAAGAGCTTTGGTCTCAACGGAAACCTTAAAAGCCACATGAGAATCCACACAGGGGAGAAACCGTTTGTGTGCTTGGAATGTGGGAAGAGCTTCAGGCAGAAGTCATGCCTGGCTCGTCATCTGAGGATCCACACTGGGGAGAAACCGTTTGTGTGCTTGGAATGTGGGAAGAGCTTCAGGCAGAAGTCATGCCTGGCTCGTCATCTGAGGATCCACACTGGGGAGAAACCGTTTGTGTGCTTGGAATGTGGGAAGAGCTTCAGGCAGAAGTCATGCCTGGCTCGTCATCTGAGGATCCACACTGGGGAGAAACCGTTTGTGTGCTTGGAATGTGGGAAGAGCTTCAGGCAGAAGTCATGCCTGGCTCGTCATCTGAGGATCCACACTGGGGAGAAACCGTTTGTGTGCTTGGAATGTGGGAAGAGCTTCAGGCAGAAGGCATGCCTGGCTCGTCATCTGAGGATCCACACTGGGGAGAAACCGTTTGTGTGCTTGGAATGTGGGAAGAGCTTCAGGCAGAAGGCATGCCTGGCTCGTCATCTGAGGATCCACACTGGGGAGAAACCGTTTGTGTGCTTGGAATGTGGGAAGAGCTTCAGGCAGAAGGCATGCCTGGCTCGTCATCTGAGGATCCACACTGGGGAGAAACCGTTTGTGTGCTTGGAATGTGGGAAGAGCTTCAGGCAGAAGTCATGCCTGGCTCGTCATCTGAGGATCCACACTGGGGAGAAACCGTTTGTGTGCTTGGAATGTGGGAAGAGCTTCAGGCAGAAGTCATGCCTGGCTCGTCATCTGAGGATCCACACTGGGGAGAAACCGTTTGTGTGCTTGGAATGTGGGAAGAGCTTCAGGCAGAAGTCATGCCTGGCTCGTCATCTGAGGATCCACACTGGGGAGAAACCGTTTGTGTGCTTGGAATGTGGGAAGAGCTTCAGGCAGAAGTCATGCCTGGCTCGTCATCTGAGGATCCACACTGGGGAGAAACCGTTTGTGTGCTTGGAATGTGGGAAGAGCTTCAGGCAGAAGTCATGCCTGGCTCGTCATCTGAGGATCCACACTGGGGAGAAACCGTTTGTGTGCTTGGAATGTGGGAAGAGCTTCAGGCAGAAGTCATGCCTGGCTCGTCATCTGAGGATCCACACTGGGGAGAAACCGTTTGTGTGCTTGGAATGTGGGAAGAGCTTCAGGCAGAAGTCATGCCTGGCTCGTCATCTGAGGATCCACACTGGGGAGAAACCGTTTGTGTGCTTGGAATGTGGGAAGAGCTTCAGGCAGAAGTCATGCCTGGCTCGTCATCTGAGGATCCACACTGGGGAGAAACCGTTTGTGTGCTTGGAATGTGGGAAGAGCTTCAGGCAGAAGTCATGCCTGGCTCGTCATCTCAGTCGAAATCCTGTTGATTCTAAAAGGCCCCGAAACAAAAGAGCAGGATAGTGATCATTAATATTAGTCGTGATCATTCCAGTTCCCTGCTTTATCGACTTAACTGATTTTAATGGGTTTGCAGCTGAATTTGCTTGTTTATTAAATCTCTTTCCTTGATGTTTGTAAACGACCTGGAACACAAAACGTAATATAAATGATAGTATGAAGAGTAATGTGTAATAAGAGTAGCAATAAAAATGATTATGCATTTATTTACTGTCTTGTTTATTTTATTTGTTGCCCATCTGCCTCCTTTGCAGGACCTAGGGCAGCTTACAAATATGTTAAAACAGATGCAACAAAAAAGGCCAACGAATTACAAAATCCAACAATGTTTCAGGTGAAAGCAAAGACATAATCAATACAGTGGTGCCTCGCATAGCGAGGTTAATCCGTTCCGGATTAACCTTCGCTATGTGAAAACTTCATTAATTAAACGGAAAGCAAAAAGCCATTGGAACGCATTAAACTTAGTTTAATGCGTTCCAATGGCTTCCATACTCACCGTTCAGCGAAGTTCCTCCATACCGCTGCCATTTTCGCGCCCTCAGTAAGCGGGGCACGAAACTGGTGGCCATTTTGGAACCGCCGATCAGCTGGGAGGCGGGCTCTTGCAAGGAGGGAGCCACCTCCCTCCTCTGCAAGAGCCCACTGCCCAGCTGAAACGCCGGCCGGCTCTTGCGAAGGAGGGCGGTGGAGGTCCCTGCTCTCCTTCGCAAGAGCCTTTCTACCCAGCTGGGAGGTGGGCTCCTGCAAGGAGGGGGGGCGAGCGGCCCAGCACCCGGCCTTCTCTAGCCTCTAACCTCCCGGTGCTGGGTGAGCGCTGCCTCCAATTGCGGTGGCAGGGGGCCCCAGGGAGGTCTCCGATGGCAGAGGGGAAAGCCTGGTAGACCGGGCCTACCAGGGAAGGGCTTCCCCCGGTAGGCCAGGTCTACTCCCCGGGAAAGCCTGAAGGTACTGATTGTGGTGGTGGGGGACCCCAGGAGGTCTCTGATGGCGGCAGAGAAGCCCTGGGAGCTTCCCCACCGCCATCGGAGACCTCCCTGGGGATCCCTGCCACTGCAATCGGTGCCTTCCAAGGTCTCCA